AAACATTTTGAAGAATTGAATAAAACCTAGAGTAAAATACTTAAATTAATAATGATAACTTATAATTAAGCCAATAATTAATATTGGTTTAACCAGTGGTTGATGTTGGTTTGATTATAAGAATATTTACACTTAGTCTTATACTTATGGAAGTACTTAAAGGTGAAAGAAGTAACTGTAACATGGTGTCAAATAATTAGAATGATGAATTATTATTGGTTTCTTTTCAGAAATGTCTGTAATAACACATTATGATTACAAGAGTAACTAATAAGTAATGGTTATTATAATATTATAAGTGAATGCTAAATCAGAGGAACTACAAGGTTATAAATGTGATTTTGACATTGAACTTGAAATGTGGTGAAATGTTTAAATGTAACTAAAGGTCACTGATGTTGTGTTGGAGGTAGATGGTAGGTGATAGATCAGGGGAAAAGTGGAAACGAAAGGAGAGCAGAGGTGACCAAGACATTAGGTCATTAGAACAGACATCATGTCACCAAGACGGTGATGGATATGAGATCATCTGTCCAAGCAGTCAGTACAGAAGAAACAGGAAGTGAGATTTTTGAGATGCATGAAGGAAACAGGTACAGAGGGCAAACAGAGAACTTCAGAAGTTCAGTTCTAAAAAACAAGGGAGTTCATCTGAAGGTTGAGGCCAACCAAAAGGCAGTTGACGTCAAGGAAAAACGCACGTGAGGAAAGAAAGTGTGTGGCTGCTGATAAGAATAAAAAGACACCAGACAGGAGGATCGAGGTTCTTTGTTCCGCAGCGTTCGAGTCGAGCACACATGGAGATGCAGAATCAACGGAGGGCTGCGTGATGATACCCCGGGACGACTGCTCGCTGCACAAGGAAGGGACAAGATCCGTTTACCCACAACCCGGGATTCTGATTCGACTGCGGCCCCACACTCAACCCAAAAGATTCCAACGATGCTGCAGTGGACATGGGGAATAGACAAAGATCTTTTGTGGATTAAGAACTGAGTTCGTTGAGGATTCTCACCAGTTCAACTTTGTATCTATTCTAAAAAGATTCTGCCAAGACAAAGACAGGACTCCATCCATGGACGTTAAAGTTATCTGCTGCCAAGATCGTCTCTGCATCTGGGTTCGAGTAATACTGCCTCCCCCAAAGCCTCTATTTAGATTAAGACACAGTGTAGGGTTAGAAGTAGGAGTAATTTCTAAAAAAAATTTAAAAGTATTAATTTCTTAATTTTTTATTGAAATGCTGTATGTCCTTTTCCCTTGCTAAAGCTTGCTAATAAAATACTAAAGTCTAAGTGATGCTGTGGACAGTTAAATTATTTGAGTCAACTAAATTTAATTCTTCTGATTATTGTAAAACCAGTGTTTGTGGTCCTAGTAAATTAGGGTGGCTTCGTACGTTCTTTAGTTCAGATAAATAATGACCCTGTGACTTATTCCTAGTCGCTAAAATTATCTAAGCCGGAAACAAGTGCACGTTAATAACAGGGAAAGAGCTACCGTGAACAGACGTGGTTTATGAGCTCGGACACCGGCGGGGCTACTCCGATGTCTGAATCATGGACTGAAGCGGGTCATAACGTCTGGATGAAGGTAGTTAGAGCTTAGACGAATCTTTCTCGCTCCCAGCTTAAACAAAAGTTCTCTATATTCTTATTTGCGGTAATACCCAGGAATTAGAAGCTTTTCGGACCCGTGAGACGGAGAGCTGGTCAGTAGTCAGTCCGCTGGAGGTTAGGAGGAGTAAAGGGCGTGGCTGAGTACTGTGGATTAACAGTATGTTTAAGATAGCAGTCTTACTCAAATCATTTAGTTTGCTTCAAAAAATGGAC